TTTTGCTTTTACGACAACTTTTATTTACTGAAGTTGAAAATCAATATCTCTTACATACTTTTAAAAGTCAAGAAAAACACAATTCAGTAGCAAATTTATCCTTTCATTTTAACTCCTTATAATTTACACACCTTAAAAATTTTTATGGTAATCAACCTTACTTGTTGTTTGGAAAAAAAATGTAATAAAAATTTAGCTTAGCGTGCAATTAATCCAATTTATAATAAATTAATTAACAACTATATCATTTAATCATTGGCAATTATTACCTGCTTTATATATATATATATATAATTTCAGAGACTTGAATGTAACTCCACCATTGATTCACAACATGAAACGCTGATGTGACATAACAATATTTTTTTGTCACCATTACTTATCAAGGGTATATTTGTAAAACGTTTTGCTATACAAACTTGTTTTGTTTGCTACAATTAAGATGCATAATTGATGTCAAAATCAAACTAGTCAATAGTGCTACACTAAAATAAGAGTAAACTTATCTGAACGCTATCTCAATTTTAAAGTGTCATTTACATAGATACGACATAAGTCTTATCTATTTACATATTAAACACCTAAACGGGTCGAAATTATGAATATCACCCTCTTTTTTATAAAAGTGAAATAGATCTTTTCAAGTATAGGATTATAACCTCAAAGTGTATAAGTATCAATACTTTCGAGTTGTTATGTCGAATCAGTCGCTCAAGGCCTTTGCTCTTTATCCAGACAGTTCGTTGTGAATGTTTCTGATTTTGTTAATGACCTATTACTTTTATTACTATTAGAAGACGCTCTGGCTCTGAATGGATCCTCACAGATAGAAAAATATTGCAGTTAGTTTGATAATTATCGATTGACATTACTTCTTTAGTCTGACCTAGAAAACAATTATATATGATGCAAAATGGATCTTATTGTCTCGTTGATCGGAGATTTATATATGAAAAATATGAATCCGAGTTTGACAATTGAATATGTAAATACATAAAAATTATGTGATATATATGTAAACATCCCTTTTAAAATAATGCATTGAAAATGTAATAATTAAATAAAAATAATATATTTTTTAGGCAACAAGCAAAACTTTCTCTTTTTGAGTAACTTCATGACTTTATTATTATCATTATTAATTTGCTAAAGATAATGTTAATATCACTCTTTATTACTACTTGTGTTTTAGAATTATAATAAAATATATATTATTTGTGCTTAATTTCATTTTTATGGTTTGTCTTTACACTGTTCGAAAAAACAAAATTGCTCCCATTTAAAGGTTTGTCTTTACACTGTTCGAAAAAACAAGATTGCTCCCATTTAAACACAATGAGCTCTCAAAGTCCTTGATAAAAATAAGATTACTCAACAAAGAAGTTCAAAACAAACATAAATAATCACATTTTAGAAGGCTTGCTAATGCCTAAGTTGAGGACATGATGTGTAGAACGCAAATGAACTAATAATGTGAAGTTACACATACCTCTAGTTCTCGGGTGTATTAAAGAAGAGTTGTTATCAATTATAAGCGAGTTGAGAATGAGAATATGAGCTCACACATGAAGCCTTTGAATTTCATGTAGATTGAGAGTGATAGAAGTGAGAAACAAAATGTGGATGATGAAAATATGAGAGAAGAAAGGTAATGTCTGTAGCATGATAAAAAAATATCTAACATATCACCATTAAACAAGTAAATAATCAAATAATATTTAAATAAATTTAAATTGAATAGCATATTCATTACTATTGAGTCTAATATGAAGTGTTTAACAAGTTATTTGTTGAAGAACAAATAGCTTATTTGTGAATGTAAATAAATAAGTTTAATTTTTAAAAATAATAAAATTTATTCAATCACGTAATCTTCATGAATATCAGAGATAAAGTCATCAATGAGTAATGGGATTCATAAAACGACAATAATAGTTTGCTAAATAAAAATTTGTATCCCATGAATAAAGACTGGGTCAAACTGTGTTGAGAAATTGGACAAGATGAGTCCAATTAAACACACAACCCCAACAAACACAAATGACTAAAATAAGACTAATATCCTAAAGTACCAAAAAAAAACTAAAGAAAAGTAAATTTAAATTGAGCAACATATTATCATGTGCCGCTCTTAATATTATAGAATCAATGCCTCTTAGTTAGTTTAGTGTACAGTTTGTCCATATTTACTAACCTAATTGGCATTGTTGACTTACTTGAGCCAAACAATAGTGTAGTTATTTTTTATGATTATAAATATAATATAAAAAAATTTGTTAAATGAATTTTGTTGAGCTCAATGAAATGTTACTTGACAAAATATTATGTCTATGTAGCTTTAAAATAAACAAAATCTTTTAATTTTCTCTCTCTCTCTCTCTCTACATCCTAAGCCATAATTAATTCATTTGTTAAGTGAACGAGCTGAACAAAAAAATAATAATAATAATAATAAATATTTTTTTTAGCTTGATTTAAATAATAAATAAATATTTTTCTGACATGATATCAAAAAATTATTTTGTATAAGTATGAAGGAGAACATTTAGGTGCTGGATATATGTAAATACATAAGAATTGGGTGGAGTATATATATAAATGTTTATAGAATTTTTACAAATCCCGACGTGTGCTCTTTTTATTTATTTATTTATTTATTTATTTAGATGTTAGATAACTAGATAAATAAGAATTGAGTGGTAGTGCGTAAATGCTAATAAATTTTTGGAAATTTTGCCCGTAACTCTCTAGCTAAGAGTGTAAACATATAAGAATTTGGTGTTATATATATGTAAATGGCCTTAAAAATTTATGTTTAAGAAACACTAAGGGTTCATTTGTCGCTGCAACTGCGTAACAACTGTCACATGAAGCTGTTGTGCAAAAGCTGCTGCAGATAAACTAATTGTTTCTTTGTTTTTTGCAGTTTGAAAAATAACTATGTTGCAGTTGTTTCTGGACGAATGATCATTCTGCCCTTGTATAACAATGTTATTGATTGTAACAAAACTGTCATATCAATATATTTTATACTTTAGAAGCAAAAATGGAGTGTAGAACATCACAATAAAAATGTATACACCTCACTAAATAATGAGTATCATGATTACTTGACCACCTCCACACCACACCACCATATTCACACCACAACTCTCCTACACCACCTTCTCTACACCACACCAACATATTCACACACCACCACCTCCACACCACACAACCACCCGATACCACCACACCAACACATCCACATCAACACATCCATACACCTCTTAACCATCTTCACACCACACACCACCACCTCCACACCACACAACCACCTGATATCACCGCACCAATGCATCCACACCAACACATCAATGCATCTCTTAAACACCTCCACACCACACACCAACATATCCACACACCACCACCTCCTCACCACACAACCACCCGATACCACCACACCAACATATTCACACCAACAGATCCACACACCTCATAAACACCTCCACACCACACACCAACAGATCCACAAGCCACACTACACCACCAATACAGTCAAATTTTGGGCAACAACATCAACCAAATTTTGAGCAACCACATCAATTAATTTGCATAGCCAATTAATTTCCATTTGCATTTTCCTTCAATTTTCACATGCAATCACCCACCACCACCAAATTTCGGGCATCAATCGAATAGAGCAAAAGAAAAACCAAATCCATCAACCGGATGTAGCATAAAGAACCCAAATCATCAACCAAGTATATCACAGAGATTCCAAAAAAAAATCTCAAAATCCAACATCAACCAAAACCCATCCAACAATAAGAGCACAGAAAACTCAGGAAAGCAATCACACATAAATATTAGCAAAATCAAAATAGCCGCATAGATAAGGTAGAAAATACCAGAACAAGGGGAAGAAAGAGTGGGACCACTTCACAGAGGGTGGAGAGGTAAAGATCCAAAACGAGTTGAGAGCTGAAGAATAGAGGGGAGAGGAAGAGGAAGAATGACAAGCTCACCGCAACAACCATCAGAACCAACAAATCCAAATGGAACCAAGCCCTGCCCACCGGAGCTAAGGATCCAAGGGAGTCGAGAGAAGAAGTTTAGGGCAACAATCACAAGAGAGGGGATGAATTGCAAAGAAATGCGGGCCGGAGGGTCGAATCTACGGCTTGTGTTTCATATAAATTATCCAAATAAGCAATGGTACCACTGTGAGCAAACACACCTCGCAGCGGCTCCACGCCGCACCGCGGGTAATAAGCCACCCCAAAAAAATCATGCCAAGCACAATTATTTTATCAAGCCTATCACTAGCTTATTTTGAACTTTCTTTTCCACTCAAATCATGCAAAGCACAACTATTTTTTTCACGAGCTATTTCAAGCATGACTATTTTGAACCAAAAAAAATTAGAACGAGCAAAACATGAACAAATGTTAAACTCTCGCTAGCCTGACCCATTTACACCCCTAAAATGACAGCATAATATCCAATTATAATAGTTCTATTATATAGTTTTGTTGCATCTGTGTATCATGGTTTTGGTGCAACAAATCAACTATGTCCATCTCGTAAAGCTCTTAAAAGATTTATACAAATAATTAGTCAGCCTTAAAGTGCTCTTTTGCCATTAATGGCCGTCACATTGATGAAGCCACGCATCATGAAATAACAATGTCTTTAGAAGATCTGCATATATGCCAGTCAAATCTTATGCATTTACATTTATATAAGACAACAACAATTTTTATACACATGTATCACCCTACCTATGTATGAGAAGATATACTTCATTTTCTATAAGTTAAAATTGTGATATTCTTGTTGTGATACGAAAGATTTGGATTGTATAAATACAAAAGCAAATTTTTGATGTTTAGATATCTATATACAGAGTTAATTTTGGTATGCATGTAATTATCCCATAAAAGAGAGAAAAAATTCAGGATCAAATCCTTTCAATAAAAAATCTATATGTATATTAAAAAGAACAATAAATGAAGAAACAAAAACACTATTGCTGCTCTCAAAGGTGCATTTGATCAAAAATTATGCCTTCCTCCAATATGTACACGTTTCACGGCACTGAAACTCCATATAAAATCAAGAAAATGTTGTCCGTAATCTGGATGTATCTGAATGTGCAGACAACAACGTGAATCGTGTCATATTGATGGACAACAACAACAATCATATCACATCATTGCACACATAATGAGGTGTGATTCATCCCATTACCCACACATCCGATTAACCAAACCTAATATAATATTTTCTTGAATTCATCCACTCTAATCATATGCACATAAATTACTTCCCCTTGACCCCTGCTCCCTCCCAAGGCTTCCAAAGGTCAAACCTATCTAAAAAAATATATATTTATTTAATAACCAATCACGCCGATGATCCCCTGACCCCATCATCTCCACTCCGACCTTCTCCCAGCGGAAGGAGATTTACCTGAGAGTGAAACTGAGACGACATATCCACCGAATGCGACGGCGTCGGCAAAACGCTTCCCCTACACACCGGACAGCTACTATGCGAGCTGAGCCACATATCAATACAATCCGCATGAAAAGAGTGCCCGCACGGCGGCAACTGCCGGACCTCTTCCCCCTCATCGAAAGCCGACAGACAAACCGCACACTCGTGCGCGGCCTCCCCTTCCTCCCCGCCAATCCCTCGCTCCTTCTTCCGGTACTTGAACGCCGGAATCCACTGCCGCGTTTCGACGTCGTTGCGGCCGCCCCGCGACGAGAGCAAGCGGCGAAACCAGGTGCAGCAACCGACGGCGATGGCGTTGGTGACGAGGAGAACGATGGCGACGAGGGCGAGGCCGATGACGAAGTAGTAGTAGTCGAGTTTGTTTTCGGAAGAGGGAGATGGGGGTTGGGGAGGGGATGGCGAGGCCATGGGTTGGATTTGGAAATATACTTTGGTTTGGAGGGAGAAGACTTTGTTATTTATTTGGAGGGGAACGGAGCCGGCCGCGGCCGGCGGGATAACTTGTTTGCGCCGTGGATTAGTTAAGTGGGGTGAGTCCGACTTGGGAAGGAGTTAAGTGCGAGCGATTGGTCGACTGGCGTGCCAGTCCACAGCGAAAGATATAAAAATATCGTGTTTTTGCTTGGCAAGAAAGGTAGCCGGCTTTATAACTGTAGTCCTCCGTTTCATACGGGAATCAAAATATTATTATTGACTTTTAATTGTAAATCAGAAAAATGAGAGGATGCATATTGCATACAACTGAAAATTATGTTATGAGTCAAAATTATTGAATTACTCAGTTGTGGAACTGTATAACAGGAGAATTGATTGAACTCTCTAGTTAAAAAACCGAGTTGTCTAACAAGAGAACTGATTGGATTATCTTGTTGTAGAACTGTTCAAATGGTGTAACTAGAGAACTGTCGAACTGTGTGATTGCCAAATTGTCAAACTGTTGAACTGTCAAGTTCAACTACATGGTGAAGCGTGACATGAAAACTGTTAGACGTGATATAAAACTACAGTACATGACATAAGCTGTTGAGTATGATACATAGTTGCAATGGGTGATTTAAATTTGTTGGACATGACAAAAAATTGTTGAAAATAATATAAAATTGTTGGTTATGACTTAACATTATGTACTTTTATATAATTTTTTATATCATGAATAACAAGTGCCCTAAGGCTTCTATAAGACCCTGCATCCTAAAAGAATTTAATAGTGTAATATATAAACTTAAAAAACATTTACTTCTTATTTAAAATTGGGCATTTCCACAAATAACTCAATTGTTTTGTATTTACATATCTCACACCTAAACCTTCATATACTCACACATAGCACTCAAATTTTCATTTTCACATAAAAAATAACACTATTATTACTTTTTAAAAGTGAAATATCTCCTTTCATGCATAGATTTAAAGCATCAAAGTTCTGCATATGTAAATACGAAAGTTTAGGCGTGAGATACATAAATACATAAAAATTATGCGCTATGCATGAAATTTCCCATTTTAAATATATTCAAAATCATAAGCTACTTGAGGTGATTTGAATTGTTGGATAAGATCACGCCCATTCAATGTGAATTAAATGGCTCAGATGTGATGATTGTATTGTATGCAATGTAATAAAATAATGTAAAAAATGTATGAGGCCATATTTTTTATATAAATGTATGGGATCATTTTTTTTATTTATTTATAAATCTCACACCTAAACTTTCATATTTACTTACAAAACACTCAAATCCTTAATATCACATCAAAAATAATATCATTTTTTATTTTTTAAAATGTAAAATATATTTTATTTAAACACCAAAATGCATATATATATATATATATAT